GTCAAAATTGCGCAAAACTGAAAAATGAAAAAATCGAGTTTTTCATAAGAATACCCCTGATTCTGATTTCAAAATATTCAAACTTCAATTGCATTGAAATTTTCAAAATTTGTAGCTCTAAAAGAACTGAAATTTATAATGTTCCTAGGTTTATGGCTTTTGAGAAAATTGAGTTTGAAGTTTTTGACAAAATTTAGACTAAAAGTCAACTTTGAGGCTGAATAACTTAAAAACTTTTTGAGCTATCAAACTCAATTTTCCATGGATTTATAGAGAATTTATTGCTCTTTCCAATGATATATGATTTATAACAATTTGCTCAGAACTCAACAAAGAGATGAGCAATTGCTCAAGACATATCAAGATTTTCAAAATTTTCCAGAGCCAAAAATAAAATTTCATTTTTATTTTTGGTTCTGTTTAAAATTGCCATTTTAAAATGATGTCAGTGTTGTTTTCCTCTAATTTTGACCCGCTTTATCGATTGGTAAAGTCAAAATTCAGCAAAAGTGAAAAATAAAAAAATCGAGTTTTCTATAAGGTATAACACCCTTGAATTTTGATTTCAAAGTCTTCAAACCTCAATTGCTCGATGACGGTTGAGTAAATTTTATTGAAATTTTCAGCATTTGTAGCCCTTATTGAGCTCTAAAAGACCTGTAATTTAAAATATTCCTAGGCTTATAATTTTTGAGCATTTTGAGTTTGAAGTTTTTGACAAAATTTGGACTAAAAATCAACTTTGTGAATCAATTGCTTAAAAACTATTTGAGCGATCAAACTCAATTTTGCACGGAGCTATAGAGAATTTAATGCTCTTTCCAACGGTATATATTTTATTCCAATTTGCTCAAAATTCAACAAAAATATGTCAAGATTTTGAAAATGTTCCCTGGCCAAAAAATTATTTTCAAAGCCAATCAAGAGCCGGGAATAATCAAAATTTGAATTTCAATTTCATTCAAGTGCCAGGAATATGAAAAAAATTGAATTTCTAAGCCAATCAAGAATCGGGACAAATTTGTGAGCCGGGAATAGAGAAAAATTGGGAAAAAAATTTCTAGATAAGAGGACATTCATGTTTTCTCTATTCCAGGCTCTTGAAATTTCTAAGCCAATCAAAAGCCGAGAATATTAAAAAGTTGAGTTTTTAAACCAACCGCCAAGAACCGGAAAAATTCAAAATTTAAATATGAAAATCCAAATCCTGGTTACTTTGAAGCTGAATACTGGAGAAAAAAAGTATGAAAGTTCTAATCTCAGGTTTCCTAAAGTCGAAATGAAATTGGCGAAGTATAAAAATCTGGTTCAAAAAGCTTATGCACATCTGAAACTCTTAGCTTTTAAAGTTGAAATTAAAGTCCTCCTTCTAGAAGAAGATAGGAGAGCACCAAACCCAGAATTAATCAAGGAAGGTAGGTATCAGCAAAGAATGTATCAGATTCAAGCTATCAGAAACAACTCGAAAACCTATACGAATTCTTCTTTAAAGAAAGAAATTTTCAGCGAAAGATATATAGGCCAATTATTGTGAAAATCAATCTTGCACATTGGTTCAGAAAAACCAAAGGTTGCGCTCAAACATCTGAAGCTCCTGGAGAAGATTAGATTATGAGCAAGATGTTGAGAATGCTCCAAGAATCACTCTAGAATCCTGGAAAACTATACCTAAGCTGTACACGAGTGTAAATGCATTTGTATATTTTCCTATTAGCAAGTAAAAGAGGAACATGAAAATACCTACCATTTTTTTGTTGTATGAAGTTGCAGAAGGCCAGAAGAAAATTTCTGATTCAAACTAACTAGATGTTGCTGCAAATCTCAAGGTTTTGCTTTATTCTCAGCAGAAGAATCAGAACCAGATGAATTTGTTTCTTGGTTATAGAACTACTTTGATAAATAGTAGATTAATTTCCATCAGATTGCATAAAAAAATCCAAATTTCTGAATGAGTTTCTTTAACTAGAAGTAGATTAGCTATTGCCTTGATTAACACTGGAATTAGTTCCAAAATCTGCCTTCACAACACCAGATGGACATTACGACTATTTGAGAGTACCATTTGGATTGTGAATGCGCCTACAATTTTTCAAAGAACTAATAGGGTTCTTGGAAATCTGAAATTACGGAAAGGCACTAGCATACATGGACGCTGATTACTTCCTCCTTCAAGTTTTGAAGTAGGTCTTGATAATTTTAAAGAAGTTTTACTTTCACTTCAAAGCGCTGGTCTGACTTTGCGTTTGACAAAATGTCATTTCTTTATGGAAAAGGAGTATTTAGGACATGAACTATGAACGTAATTCCCAATCTGGGCCCGGATCCCGAACCCAGGATTCAATAGTATTGTCTATGTAATTTATATGGACAATATACTATCGAATTGTGGGTTCGGGATCCGAGTCCTGCTTACACCTGTCTGGTGGTTAGATTGTAGTTTGATAGATGAAAAAATGTATGTAAAAAATATGCAGAAATAGTTCAACCCAATGGTTTAACCCTTGCTTCGCGCTCTGTTAAATAAAAGTTAATTTGAAGAAGTATCTGCAGTTTTTAAATGTTAACTAATTTAAATTATGATCAGACAAGAGGACCAGCCCGGTGTCAACAGCTGAACCAGCTCTGATGTCAGATAGATGGAAAAGTCATTCCACGTCATTCTTTGATAGATTGTCAAGCTGGCGTGAGCTGGCCACGGACTAGCATACAAGTGCATCATACATCATGCATCATGAACCATCAAAGACAAGTTTCCTCTTCCCCGTGTTAATGAATTTTTGGAAAAATTGAAAGGCTGTCACTATTTCACGAGTTTGGACTGGATACCACCAGACTCCTATGGAGGAATCCTCAATTTCAAAAACGCCTTTCACAACACTAGATAGACATTACGAGAGTACCATTTGGATTGTACAATGCCCCTGCAATTGTTCAAAGGACTAATAGGGTTCTTGGAAATTTGAGATACGAAAAGGCACTAGAATACATAGACGACGTGATACTTCCTTCTTCAAGTTTTGAAGTAGGTCTTGATAATTTGAAAGAAGTTTTACTTTCACTTCAAAGCGCTGGTCTGACTTTGCGTTTGACAAAATGTCATTTCTTTATGGAAAAGAAGTATTTAGGACATGAACTATGAACGTAATTCCCAATCTGGGCCCGGATCCCGAACCCAGGATTCAATAGTATTGTCTATGTAATTTATATGGACAATACTATCGAATTGTGGGTTCGGGATTCGAGTCCTGCTTACACCTGTCTGGTGGTTAGATTGTAGTTTGATAGATGAAAAAATGTATGTAAAAAATATGCAGAAATAGTTCAACCCAATGGTTTAACCCTTGCTTCGCGCTCTGTTAAATAAAAGTAAATTTGAAGAAGTATCTGCAGTTTTTAAATGTTAACTAATTTAAATTATGATCAGACAAGAGGACCAGCCTGGTGTCACCAGCTGAACCAGCTCTGATGTCAGATAGATAGAAAAGTCATTCCACGTCATTCTTTGACGTCATTCACAGACTAGCATACAAGGGCATTATACATCATGCATCATGAACCATTAAAGACAAGTTTCCTCTTCCCCGTGTTAACAAATTTTTGGAAAAATTGAAAGGCTGATGTCACTATTTTACGAGTTTGGACTTGGCCAGTGGATACCACCAGATTCCTATGGAGGAATCCTCAATTCTAAAATCTGCCTTCACAACACCCGATAGACACTACAAATATTTGAGAGTACCATTTGGATAGTGCAATGCGCCCGCAATTTTTCAAAGGATTAATATGGTTCTTGGAAATCTGAGATACGGAAAGGCACTAGCATACAAGGACGGAATATTATTTCCATCTTCAAGTTTTGAAGTAGGTCTTGATAATTTGAAAGAAGTTTTACTTTCACTTCAAAGCGCTGGTCTGACTTTGCGTTTGACAAAATGTCATTTCTTTATGGAAAAGGAGTATTTAGGACATGAAATATGAACTTAATTCCTAACCTGGGCCTGGATCCCGAACCCAGGATTCGATAGTATCGTCTATGTAATTTATATGGACGATATTATCGAATAGTGGGTTCGGGATCCGGGTCCAGCTTACACCTGTCTGGTGGTTAGATTGTAGTTTCATACATAGTTGATAGGTGAAAAAATGCATGTCAGAAAATATGTAAAAATAGTTCTCTTGCTTCGCGCTTTGTTAAATAAAAGTTAATTTGAAGAAGTATCTGCAATTTTTAAATGTTAGCTAATTTAGATACTGACTGATCCCAGTGGTCCAAAAAGGATATTTTGCTTGCTTTTCAGTAGAAGTATGTGTGATTGTTAGAATATTAAAATCTTCAAAATATCTTGATTCTTGATGCAAATAAGATGGAAAGGATCCATAATCTAATTTACTTGGACTATATAAATGGGAATCATGTGCTTTAGTTCTACCAACCTGAAACAGAATTCAGAAAGTGACTTTCCTTACGAATTCCCACCCCATACTCGAAAAATTAATTCCATAACCCAGAGACCATTTTCGGTTTTAATAAATTCAACTGAATGGCCACTAGAGTAGCCGGAGATCATCTCCCAGGCCCCCTCATATTTTATTCAAATTTTATTACGAATAATTGTATTTTCGGTTGTGCATTAAATACCAGTTTTTTCTCGAACATAAATTTCAATTCATGTGATTGGCCCGGTTATTAACTATACGGTTTCGTTAATAATTAAGTATAAATTGGTTCTAAATTAACTTGTGATATTTGTAATCAGTGTTACATTTGTGGAACACCCCAGAAGTTGTCCTTATTCATCTAGAAGCTCTTAACCAATTTTTACACTATAGATATGCCATTATTGAGACCATTTGGGTGGTACCTACCCAAAAAAAATCCTTCGCTAAGCAAAAAATTTATGTGGTGCCACCAGACACGGCTACCGTTCATATCTTGTCACTATCTCATCTGTCTCCAGATGGTGAAAAGTGATAGGGACCGTTTACGACCCCCCTGCGGTTTAAAATTCGAAAATTATCAAGTGAAACTTAATATTTTCCTTGAGTCGCCTTAATTGGGTTCCCGGATTTACTGCCGACCATAAAATTTTAGAGGGTTGTTGTCTAGAAACAAAGAAAATAATTAATTCGAATAAATTATAAAAGGAAAGGTGCAGACAAAACATAATTATTAACGTCGGTATTCTGATGTTATTATGTCACTCCCACATAGATTGCGGTGGATATAAAGGCAATTTTTGCATTTTTGCCTTATTATAATATTAATTATTTGCCGTCTCTTCTCAGATAAAATTAAAACGAAAAAAGAAAGAACACCCAGAATTCCAAATCCCAATTAATTAAAAAAAAACAAGACCCAAAAAATTAGTATCCACGTCGGAAAAACATGTCCGCCCTATCTGAAATGGCTAATTTCGAACACCTTTTGTCTATTAGTAAACGCGCTCGGGCAATAAAAAGTTTAAATACTGGTACCACCCGCAAGAGTGACACCTCACTTTGGTTGGGTGCTTATCTGATTTGACATTGTCGTAAATTTTTTCCTGGGGTGACGTTGGTGGTTCCCAACAATCTACCTGGAATATTTTTGGTACTTACTTGGTTTCTTTATTATGAATGAAGTTATAAGTTTGAAAAGCTTTCCATGAAGAGAGGCTCTTTTGAATCAGACTGAGATGAGAAAATTGAGTCAAGATGGATAGTACAAAGTGTAATATTTCTTCTGTATATAGTTGTATATTCTTAAATCAACTTTGAAACTTACTCACAGGTTGAATCCTAAGTAGGTAGCCAAAGCTAAAGAACACATCTTATTGAAAGATCTGACGAAAGTAATGATATGAACTATTGAAGAGTGGCAATTTCTAGTGATTTTAAAATTTCATCAATTTTGAAAATTTTAAACAATGGCATACACTTCATAAACATCCCTCGTAAATTACGAGGGTATATATTAAAATTTTACTTCATTAACATACAAATTTCATTTGTTTGACTGAAAACCAAATACCCATAAGTGGTGTGTGAGGTCCTTTGATTTTTATATAAATACTAGCTGACCCCAGCGAACTTCGTACCGCCTCTGAATTATTAAATATACCTTATTAAATGTTGTGTTAACGTATCTAAAGTTTTTTTTTTTTTTTTTTAAAGATAATTCCCCAAGTCAAAAATTTAGTAACTATGTTGGCAACATAAGCCTTTTCTACATAGCAACAAATAGCAGCATTGACAATTTTACATGGTATTGTCGAATGTAATACCACAAGAGGTTTCAGGATTACCGGATAATACTTTTACCTGTCACGAAACGCGTTACGCAGCAACACCACGACTCCAAAGAAGGAGTGGTGTTGCTGGTTACGCGTTGAGTGTCAGGTAAAAGTATTAGGTAATCCTGAAACATCGAGTGGTATTCAAAAGGTTATACAACGAACTAAACTTCAATACTTTATCAATCTTTATAATCATTAATGACAAATTGACAATATTGCCACCAGGCGCGATAATCCCAAAAGGCTTATCACTTGTTAAGCCTCTCGTGTCATATGGGAATAATGTACAGTGAGTTGTATAACCAACATAATGTCATTTTGACTTTTATCTTAAAAAAAAAAAACAGATTTCATTAGCTGAATCAAATTCAGTTTTTTTCGATGGTGAATTTGGCTTTGGTTGAAGAAAATTAATGTTCACTCTCTGGATCAGAAGTCACCTAAAATTAAAATTTTACATCATCCTTTTTTAGGCAGCTTGTGGGCATTATTCTTGTAAAGTGTACCACCAAATAAATAAACTCAGGCACAGGAATGTTCAAAGAATGTGAAGAAAAGAAAAAAAAAATCTCTAGGGCAGCCTTGTTTCACTCTATCTGCACTGCATGCACTGCACTACTCCATCTGTTCTACTCTATCTGCACTACTCTATCTGATATACTCTTTCTGCACCACTCTATCTGATCGGAATAGTGGAATAGTTCTGTTCGAAATAGCTCCAGTTCCTGAGCAGCCTTGTTCTACTGTATCTGCAATGCCGAGCTTCGTTTCAGGTATCAGAGATGGCGCGGTAAACAAAATACTATAGCTACTACTGCTATGTGTTTGCTTGATATATCACCAGCGAATGAAAACACTGTTTTACTAATAACTCGGTTTAATTCTGGGCACTGAACATACAAATAAATCGAAATACTTTATTTTGTTAACAACAACAACACGATATCATAATTGCGCGGCAACAAGCTGACTAGAAGTAAACAACAACCTGGGACAGCTGTCTTCTGTCACGTCACGTCAGGCCGCCAGGGTTGTACACAATAGTTGAGCCATCCAGGGTTGAACACAACGGACTCGCGGAACAATGACGCCACATCTACTCCCCTCCCAGTGACGAAGCCACTTGTGGGAGGAACGAAACCTTCTTTTTTGAGTAAGTGCGAAGAGGGCGGTCCATGGTGAAGGATGACGCTGGGTGATTCTCCAGGGTGGATGAAACGGTATCGGGTTTAAGGGTGTAGGCTGGCTTCAGGGCGTCCACAGAGACAGTCTTCTCAACGCCATTGATTCGAATGCTGTACACTCGGTCATTTATTCTCTTGACGACTTCATGCGGGCCAGTGTAGGGCGGTTCGAGCGGGCGACGAACAGAGTCCACTCGGCGGAAGACATGACTGCAAGTTGCGAGGTCCTTGAGGATGAAGCAGCGAGATTTGATATGGTGAGCCGTAGGTGTTGGGCGGACTTTCCTGATGTGGTCCCGGTATTTTTCGAGGAAGACTTGGAGATCAGCTGGGGGTGACTCAGAGGTGAAGAATTCACCAGGTATACGCAGGGGTGTCCCATAAAGGAGCTCCGCTGGTGAGGCATTCAGGTCTTCTTTCAGGCACGTACGCAGACCCAGAAGAACGGTCGGAAGCACTTCCGTCCAGGGCGTGGGTGCTTGACACATAAGGGCTGCCTTCAAAGTCCTATGGAAGCGCTCTACGATGCCATTGGACTGCGGGTGATAGGGCGTGGTGTGGATTACCCGCGCTCCTACAAGGCGTGCAAGAGCCGAAAATAGTGAAGATTCAAATTGCGTGCCCTGGTCAGTTGTGATGGATAGTGGCGTTCCGTAGTTGCAAATCCAATTGACATAGAGAGCAGACGAGACGGTGTCAGCTTCCATGTTCTGGAGGGGTACTGCAACAGGCCATCTAGAAAATCGATCAATTATGGTTAAGCAGTAACGAAATTTGTTGACTGGTGGTAAAATGATGAGGTCTAGGTGAATATGCTCGAATCTGTTGTCAGGTACGGTGATGTGCTGTGGTGCGAGACGATTCCCTAATAACACCGATCTCCCAGAAACATCCTATTTATGTACCATTAAGGTCCTTATGTTTCCGACATAAATGGTACATCGCTGCGATGTTTGTAATGTAACATCTCTAGGATGATTGTCCTGAAATGTTTTAGAAACATCCTTTCGAAAATATCTATCGACAAAAAGATTTTTTGTTCTCAAAATTAGATACTTATTACAGCTAAAAAATGGCTAACATTATTTTACAAAACTAGGTAGGACCTCAGACCGGTAGGACCCAGTATTAAATTTGCCAATTTTGTGTGATTTCTGAAAATGTCTCTATCACACACACAAACTAATTTCAAATTCCATAATATACCTGTAATGTATATAGATAATAAGGAACTTAATATTAATTTTGTATTGTAACAACAGCAATATTTAATTTTTCATTCGACTTACAACTTGGAATAAAATAAAATATGTATTGATAAAAGTCTTCTCTCTTTTCAACTTTCAAACATCGTGAATATTCGTGAAGCCGAAGTGTATGGCGCAGGCGCGTGCTCAGGCATTTGTACTTGTACCGGTCAGGACAGGAGGGCACGCCACCACGTCGGGTCGGCGCCGCAGCCAGCGCAGACGGGCAGAATCAGTCGAACGGGTCGTCCTGTGCGCTACGCTTGTGTTGTTGGGCGGAATTTTATTTCGTAATGGCGTCGTGCTGTGTGGAGGATTTGTCAATTTGTGGTTTTTCGCTACACCTAGTTGTGCCATTTTGTGTTCGAAAGGATCTCTGCGACCTACCAGTGCTTATTAGTTGGTGAGAAAGATTATTTGTTGAAAGATAACGTCGCATAACTATCAATTGTTTAGTTTATTTAATTTCAATATGGCGTCGGTTAGGAAATTTCTAACTTTTCTGATAAATAGCCCCTAGAAACCCGAACTTCATTCTTCATTAGGTAAGAGAAAATAACCAATAATTATTTTTTGTTTTCATAGTTGATTACATTCTAGGTGTGCAAGTTGAATTGTACTTCAAGAACTTTGGATTTTGGTTCTGTGGTTGTTTTGGTTAGATAATGGTACCTTTATGAAATTGGAGCACCAACAAAAAAAGAAAACGCCGAACTCCCCTACTACAACATGCTGCCACCGCCAAACTATGGTTTTCGATGACATGACGGGGCATAAATACTACATTATTTAGGCAAAATTGTCCGTCGATTATTATTAGTTGATAGATAATCAATATAAGTATACATGTACCTTATTTTTTCAATAAAAAATGTTATTGGAAACTGATGTGCCTACTTAATTTTATAATTTTCAATTTTTGTTTTTTTTTTGGAAAAAGTTCTGACTTCCAGAAAATAGAACGAAAATTGAAAATTATTGAATTAGGTAATTTTTAATCCATAATCCTAAAATTCATTCACCTATTAAAGTCATACTAGAAACATATAGAGGATGTTTCTTACACCTGCCCCGGATGTATTAGGTACATCCCGCGTCATCTTAGAAACATCCCTGAGAGATGTTTATAGGACATCGCAAATGATGACACGGCTGTTGCCTGCAACATCCCAGGGATGTCCCCAGGAAAATAGGGACCTCCCAGGGACGTCTTCATTATCCCTGATGGATGTTTCTGGAATGTTTCTGCGATGTTACTGTGTTATTAGGGTTGTGTCGTTGAATTTTGGATTTTTGACACTGAATGCATTGGCGGGACCACTGGAGGGCGTCCTTCTTGATTCCAGGCCAAACAAATTTTTCTTTGAGGCTTCGAGCAGTGACTCGGCCGCTGGGGT